CCTCCAAGTCATCTGATTTAGTTTTAAATAATACAACTTTTAATCTCAAAATATTAAACTGGATTTTGTATGTACCACACTTATTTAGATCTGCTATTTTATGTCAAGATGCCTCTACCTATGATAAATTTTCTTTATGTGTCCTTCACAGCCAACATTTGCATTTCTCTGTGTAGATTTTTATGTTGAGAATTGTTGGTAAAAAGTTTTTATGTTTTTATATTAAACACAATCCTGTTGCAGGTATGAATATGTCAAGCTTTGGTTATACATATATTAGAGCCTCTTTCCAAATGAAATTTACAGACATCTTTGCATGTGAAAACAGAACTCATTTTGACATATATCTACAGTAGGGTTGGGAGATTTTCTTAGTTTGTGTTTGGAGACTCTGAAAGCAATTATGCAAATAGCCTACTGGTCTCTGGGAATATTGGATCCAATACAAAGAAAAGAAGAATGGCTTTCAGATACCACATGGCACTTAACAAAATGATCCATTGCCTTGCTGCCAAGATTAAGAGGAATTTTAGAGCTATCTTGAGTTTCTGGAGGACAAGCATTGCAAATGTTTCCCAGGAAACAACTCCCTGTGGCCAGCATTTTAATATCCTAACCAAGCCAATAAGTAAAAGTCATTCTTATTCAATATCCTTTCCTACGAATAAATAAGAAAGAATCTACACTTTGAAATAGCCTTGGCAACTGGGTGAGAATAAATTAATTCTTGGTCATTTTCTATATGTTTCTGGGTTTGAAATCTAGCTATGTTTAATGATAATTCACATAGCAGTCCATTTCCTACAGAAAGTTTTTCAAATTCCTGAGAGTGGCATTCAAAGGCTTTGATAATGTAAATCCAACTCTTTCAGGTTTTACCCAATATCCCACTAGGTACCTTATATATAGGTTATTTGTTGATTTGAAATTTATATACACTCAGCACTTTCCTATCTCCTTTATTGCTACTTATATTGCTTCTTTTACTTAAAATTCACTTTTACCTTTACCTTTACATCATTAAATAATTCTGTAAATCATTCAATGGCCAACTCAAATATTTATATATTTTTTCCATTAAAGTTTTCATGATTGCTCACAATGAAGGTCATCTCTCTTAATGCTTATACCTATCACTTTGTCCTATTGCGTTTTGGTAACAACAACATCACTTTTTTAAAGAGCCCCACAGAAAGGAAGCAGTAAAAATATTTGCTGAGGTGTTTTTATTAATACAGAGAGGCAGCATTTGCAATATTTTGTCCTCAAACATATCTAGGTTTGAAGACTACCTTTTCCCAATTCTCCCTCTGTGATTTTGTAGAAATTATTTAAACTCTATTTCTGTTTTCATGCTTATCAACTAAAAATAATGTCACTTAATTTTGGATGATATTTGAAATTAAGTGATGGATTCAGAGTGTACTATATAGTCTTATATAATTGTAGAGAATTCATACAACTGTTTGTTTTAAGAAGAGATGACATGAAATTAATCAATATGGATGCTATAGTAAATGAGTTTTTTATATGTGGACACAAATGCTTCAGACAGGTTGAACACAGTTCTACATGTTTCCTATTGTTTTTATTTAAGTAAGTCTTTGGAGAAATAAGTTCTATTGCTCTCTAACAGGACTGCCCTAGATATTAGAATTTTCATGAAATTTAAAACAATGTTGATTACTGAGCCAGAAAACAAGGAAAGGTGGCATGAACAATGGGGTCAAAACACAAGACTATACAAGCCAGTTAATGAATACGTCTGTCAGCTCAATCATAAATTCATTAAATAGCAAACTAAAATAACATGTGTTGGGGTTGGGGGAAATACGCTGTTAGAATCTCATGGGTCCCGTAATACTGTAGTATATAAAAGCTGCTGTACACTCTTATTTAGTAGAATACAGACTTTTAAAATTCAGAATAAAATGAAGAAGTGGAGAGTATATATACAACACATAAATTCAGAGAAGGGGGTACTATAGTTGTGGGAGAATATTCTATGTAGAAAATGAGGTAAAGTATGTTTTCTGTCCAAATTTATAAGTGGAAAATAGGTAAATAAAATCTAAGGTTAATGAAATAATATAAAGGCTGGAGTTGAGAAGCCATTTGGTAGACCCAAATTTATTAAGCATCTTACTGTCTGCTATTGAATAAAACAATTCAAACTTAAGTAAGGAAAGATGTTTTTCAAAAAGCTATTCAAATAGAGAAAGTGCTATGACTTTGAAATCTTCAATCACTTTATAATGTAAATTAATTTACTTCCTGGATTATGGAAAGATTCACTACTGTATTCTAGTTGTATAAATTTCAGGTCAATTTCAACACTATTTGTGACAACATGGCACTAGGTAAACCCCTTAACTTAGGGGGGAAAAATCCTTGATATTAAATATTTCAGTTCTATAGTAAAACATATAGCTAAATATTATACTATTAAAATTTATGTATATAATGAGAGATGGACACTATAGAAGACATTGACCAATGATAAGTATAAAATTCGTGGCTTGGTACACATGCAGGTTTTATGTTGTAAAATTAAAAGCAGTAAGACTCTGTAGCCCTACACCAATTTATTGAGAATCTTTCTTAGAAAAATGTTTAAGAATATGGTCACTCGGGCAATGTAATTTAATTTTCATTTCTTAATCTTGCAAGAAAATTTTTAAAAAGTCAATATTTTCAGGAAAATCTTTTATTAATTGACCAAATCCCAGATATATAAGAAGAAATATAAATAAAGAAACAAGGAGACTAAAAGGAAGTTTAGGACCTCTTTGAAGAAAACCAACCAGAAAACTATTCAAGGCATCAAACATTTAAAGTGCTAAAATCTGTTTTAAGATGTAATCTGAGTATTATATTGCTTGCTGTACATGAGTATATACAAGTAAATGTTATTATGTTACATATACAAGTAAATGTTATTTTTTTTATGATTTACAGTATCATATAAGATTATTTTGGAGGTATGATCATTTCACAAACATCCAGGAAAAACAAATTAGGACAGAGAATGAGGATGCATAATTGGAACGATATAAACTTGTTCAATCATCATTTAACTTTGTTCAGAGCCATTGTTCACAGGGTCATATTGAGTCATAGTCTTCTTGATAGCACGTAACAACAACTTGATTAAAAGGAAACTTCACACATTTAGAACTATCTTATAATTGACACACACACACACACTCACAGAGCCTTTTAATTTCTTAGTATTGAACCATTTAAATTTATTTTACAAGTATGTGAAGAGCAATGGAGATTTATAATTTTTAAAAATGGGAGAAAGTCATGAATTATAATAGAAACATCTTCTATATAAAATTAGGATATGCTAGTGGCTGAATGATAAGAAAGTGTGCTGCCACCCAAAAGACACATGATTGTTTAATCCACCAGCTAATCTGTGGGAGAAAGTTGGATAATCTCCTAGTGTGTGATTTAATAGCCTTTGAAAACCCACTGGAGGGTCAACCATGAGCTAATTCAGACTCAACATAAAACTACAACATATGACATTCATTTTTATCATGAATAAGGCTATTTATGGTTTCCTGTTTTTCATTTCATTTTGTCAGAAGGGCTGTAAAATGCATCCACATCTTTATTGAGTGATTATGTTTTATTTAAATAAGTTAATTACAGTGGATTAAAAGCTTTATGTATAAGTTGTACTACTTAATATTTATAAGGTTCTGGAGAGGCCAAGGATAACATTGCATTTTACTGAAAAAGAAAATAATCTTTATTGAGTTTGAGAGATTTTACGCCAAGCATGAAGTTGGAGATTTCAACTCCTATTTCACTAAAACCTTTCTATGACTTCTATCTCAATAAAGGATTAAGTTAAGCATTTGACCAAGATAGAAGAATAGCATTATTGAATGTCTAATTTTATATTTTGTAAAATGAATATTATATTTTCTGTTTTATATTTTGGCAATTGCTATGTGAGAAAACTGTGGGAGCAGGAGAAATGTGGATATATGTACGTGTGTGTGTGCGCGCGCACGCGTGCGTGTGTGTGTGTGTGTGTGACATGCATGTGTGTATTCGTCCTGGTATAACTTTCGGATAAGTTCCTTATTAAAATGTCTATAATTCCACTGCAATTATTGAATATACTAATTGATTTTCATAGAGCTTTACATCACCCAATTACTATTATCCTTACTTTAGTTTTAACGTATAGATGTTGTTGTTGTTGTTGTTGTTGTGTAACATAGGATCAAAATCAACCTATAGGTGACCCTATGGTGGGTTTGCAGAGGCAGTTAATCATACAGGAGAAGACAGGCCATCCTTTTGCCACAAAGGGGAACCACGTGCCTTTGGGATTTCAGGGCAGCTCCTTGCTGCTAGGCCACTTATTAAGCTAGGTTAAGGTTGTTCTGGTGGGTCTTTCTCAATGAGTTGCCCTGTTATCTCTAAAAACAAGCCTCTTTGGTGATGTGAATCCAGCAGTGCCTTCTGGGAGAAAAGAGGTTAATCTTTCTGACTGTGGTACACAGTGTCAGAAACACAATGGAAGATCGGCTGGGAGTCATTTCTGACTCTACTGCAATGAATTTTGAGCTGTTAATCAGGGTTAATCTCTTTATTCTCCTGTCAAATTCTACTCTTATCAAAATTTGTAACTCTGACACATGTTTGTCCACATGATGCTATTAAATTTCAAAGATTTGAACATAAAGGTATTGCTATGGACATAACTGTTTTAGAGGAAGCAGGTGAAAGACTAGATTATTCATGAAGAAGATGTAAACTACTGGAGCTTAGTTGACGCTCACTGTGAAAGAAAACATTTGTTATAAAATGAGATAGTTTTATAACCTTCATCATTAGGGAGTAAAAGTAGCAACCTAGCAATTGATGTTTCAATTAATGTAGATGTTGCTGAAAATTGAGTATTTTGAGGGAAGGAGCTGCTGCTGAAAAGAAGCACTTTTGGTGGAATCTCATGCCTTTTCTTTCTGCGTTAGACAGGACTATGAAGAGCTGGAAAAGCAGCTGAAAGAAGTTTTCAAAGAGCGTAGCACCATCCTCCGTCAGTTGACGAAAACATCCAGGGAACTTGATGGAATTAAAGTCAACCTTCAGGTGAGTTGAAAACTCATTTTCTGAACAGCAAAGGACAGTGCACTTGATTTTCCTCAGTGGATTAACATGTAAAGACTCTTGAATTCTTAAACTGCTTTGAATATATTTCTAGGCTCGACCATGGCAGTTATTATTTATTATTATGTGGGCTTGGAAAGGAAATGACATTTGAAATGCAGTCTGGGAATATGTGGTTTGCAAATACAAGCGTGAGAAAATTGTGTGCTTGGCAAAGCCGTCTATTACTCAACAATTTCTGAGTTCAATTTGACCTCTGTGTTTTTCAGATTATAAAATGATGAAAACTAATTATGACCAAGTGTTAAATGAATCCAGGAATGACATCCAAAGGCGTATTTTAATGTCCCTATAGGAGAGTCCTGAAGATTCTTTAATAAGCCTCATTACTGAAATGGGTAAACGCCTTAGAAAGGAGAATGTCATCTGCAGAAATGTATTAAGACTAGAATCTCAATTAAAAACAAAAACAAAACAAAAAACCACAAAGGCAAGGTCTATACCTCCTTTTTAAAAAATGTTCTAAAAATATGTGATATCTTTTTTAATATTTGACTTAGATATTGTGTTTATTGAACACCCACTATGTGCTACATACTTCAGAAGAGATATGCACTCACTTACTTTGGGCATTTTGCTATGAGGGACTTTTCCTGGGAGAGGAACATGATGCTTAGAAAGTTAGATGGTCTGTGAAGGAGAGAAAGACCCTTGACCAGGTGGATTGACACATTGACTGCAATAGTGGGGTCTAATGTCTTGGAAAGTGTGAGGATGGCACAGGATAGGACATGGTTCAGAACTGTTGTTCCTAAGATCACTGTGGGTCGTACTAACAACAAAAACAACTATGTGCTATAAGCCGCATATACATTTTCTAATTTAGTTCTCATTGCATACTTATTGGGTAGATGATATTGTTCTTCTTTTCCTCTGTTATCTGTATTTAATCAGGCTTAGAGAAAATGAATTCTTTTTTTAGAACACACTCTTAGTTTTCCTAGGGACATTATATCAGAAAATGAGTGGCTTCATTCTGATCAGGTTTCTAAGGCTGTAAAACTTTATGGGAAGTTGCTGCCCATGTTTCTTACTTGAGGTGACTGATGGTTTCTAACTTCTGTTCTTCTAATTAACTGTCCTATATGTGTGCAAAGTATTGATAAAACACTGCCTAAGAGATGCTTGAGTGAAATTATATTTATTCCCTCATAATTTTTGAGGCCAAAGTTTAAATTAGAGTCTTGTGCCAAGACTCTCATTAAATTCTGCTGTCAGTCCATAATCTTTGGCTTTAATTTGATCCTTACAAGTGCTTCTGCCTTACCTGTCACAGAATACCTACCTTCCTTCTGTGTGTATAACTGTGTTTCTTTGTCTTCTATTCTTTATATATTGCTCAGAGGAGATTAACATCCACTCTTCCCCTGTGTAACACTATTAACTGATAATAGCTACAAAGAAAATCCCTCCTCAAACAAATCCACATCCAGACGTATGGGGCCTAGGAGGGAGTTCAATATATCTTTCTGAAGGATACAGTTCATTCTATAACTCAAAATGAATTCACAAATTAAATGGAGGGAGTCTGGTTCCAGAACTGTCTCTTATTTATTGTAGTATATTGTTTCTGAACTAATTGAATGTGGACACATTCTTGTATCAGGTACTGTTCCTATAGATTTTATTTAATTTTCCAAGATGTCTCTACCATGTTATTGTTTCATTTTATGTAAAGAAAACTCTGAGAAAATTGAGTTATAGTAAGGTTAAGAAACTGTATAGATAGTTAGGGGTAAGAGCTGAACGTAAAGTCCAAGACCTAGTGCCAGTAGTTGTATTCCAATTTGAAAAAAAAAAAAAACTAAATAAGAAGATAAGAACTCATTCACATTCTTGTGGGACACAGAGACAGGTAGCAAGATAATAGTACGTGAATAAAAGTGTTATGATGGAATTGTGCAAAGTGTATTAAGGAAATATTGCAAAAGGGATATTTGTAACAAAAGAGTGAAAATGGTTTTAATAGAAAGCTAAAGCCTGAGTTGTGGCTTATCCATAAGTGAATTATTTACCAGGTGGGTAAGATGAACGTACATTCAAATTCAAATGCATTCTGAGAGATGTGTGACACCTGGTACATTGAGAACATTGGAAGCACAGTCACATGCCCAGGTGTGCTTACGTTGTACCACATTCTCTTTTTCTATCTGTAGCCTAAGCCAAGACATCTAATTACAGTGTGGAAAATAGTTTGGCAAAGGTGAAAATGTGTTCAGTTAAATCTTCTGGGGGAAAAATAATTATCCTTCAATAAATTTATTCATTGAAGCAGTTCTGACTTCCAGCAACCTTCCATTGGGTTTCTGAGGCTGTAAGTCACAATGGAGGGAAACTGCTCATCTTTCTCCCTCGGAGCCTCTGCTAGATTTGAACCACCGCCAGTGCACAGCCATTGGGCATTAGGGCTAGCAGCTCACCTTGCTACGGACTCTGCTATCCGAGCTCCCTCTACTAAGTAAAGGAGTTGGGACTTTTTTTTAACTGTCTTGTTTATGTTACCCATTGGAAAGGATGTTTTTCATTTCATCCAATCCTCTTAACAAAGAGTTCTGGTGATGTAGTAGTGTGCGGTGTGTGCTAGTCAAAAGGTTGCATATCTATTTCAAATCTGTTGGCACTTGTAAGGGGGAAGATGGACAGTGTCTCCCGATTTAACCTTTACAGCCTTGGAAACCCTAAAAAGGGTCACTAAGAGTCAAAATCTATTCAAAATCAGTGGGTTTGGTTTCATTCCTGGCCAGGAGATTTAAATATTATACTTATTGTACAAATGAAAACTGCCTTAAATATGCCACACGAATTTCTTAAAGTCATACATCTGATGAGTGATGACTCTGTTTTTCAAATCTTTTGTTAATTATATGTCACTATATATCGCTCAGTTTGTTTTCAATGGTGCTTTCTTGAACACAAGAGCTTAGAAAAGCTTGTACATTTTGTGTATGCAGTAGTTGGATGAGATAGTATCTTAGATAAGTATTATAAGTTATATTGATTAACCAGGTGTCTGGAAAGGCACTAAGGCAATATTTCTTTGAAAATAATTTTCCTGAACATTGTTGAGGAAATAATAATCTAGTTTTTCAAAGTGGATGCTGGTTACCACCACTGATCATCACCTATATCTTATATCTGCCCTTTTCATTCCTATTTTATAGGTCTGAGATTCTTCTTCAATTTTTGAGAACAATTATGCCCCTTTTATAAACTAATTTCCATCAGAGACTCAGAATAGAGCAACTAGACACAGGTTTGCTAAATGAGACAGTAGAATTTTCTTGGGCTTTTAAGTAAGGGTTTTCAGATACTTATCTCTGTTGACTATTCCAATAACTGACTAAATAAAGTTAGCTTATCAGAATTCTTATTCCAGTTTTTCATATGAGAATGCCAAAGGGTAGATATTTGTGACCTGTCCAGGGACCAATCTTAATGCACTTTGGTCTATAAAGCCATGATTAATGACCTTTTCTCTACTTTAATACCTTTGCTTGCTTTCTGTGTATAAGGATCACCTTTTATTGATTCACGATTATAATCTTAGACTCATGAGGCCGTTATTGTTAGAAGGAAATTTTTTCTTGGGCACTTCATCCATACAATGTTTATAGTACTTTATTAAAAACTGGCATTTTTTTTTACCTTTTATTGTGATTTCAGTGAAAATCTACAGAGCAGATTGGTTTGTTTCCAATAATATATGTACAGTTTGTTTCATGGCATTGTGATGCCCTCAATACAACAGTATTCTTCCTATTTTTACTCCTTTTGTTCCTTTTTCTCTATTCCCTCTTACTCTCTGGGCTTTATAACTGGATCAGTGTTACTCTTCCGATATCACTTGGTTATTTGTAATAGGAGTACACAGTTCCTCAATATTATAATTCACCCCATCACTCACTCTTTCAGATTGAGTCAGAACCAACTCATAGCTCACCCTCTAGTGGTTTTTCAGAGACTGTAAATCACATAGGAGCAGATTGATCATTTCCTCCCTTAGAGCAGATGCTCTGATTTAAACAACCAGAAAGGGCCTGTGTTGAGTGAGTAGGGCTACTCCACCAGGTAGCCTAATCCTGCAGATTGTTTGACATACAATCGAGACACTGTGGTGAACTCTTTTAAGGCATGAAGCATTACACTCATCCATAGTCTTGGGTGTTTCATCAGTCTCTTTCACTCTAATGATCCAGATCTTTATTATTATTATTTTCTACTTTGTGCAAGGCACTCTCTATATATCCCTGCCAGCAACAGTAACTGGTTACTATTTAGTTCTAACATCAGCATCATAAAAATGGAGGTTCTTCTGTTCTATAAGTCTTTTCAACTAATTTATTCCACATGCCTTTGACATTCTTCATTTTTCTTTTTCTGGACAGGGCAAGGGATGTGGCAGACAATAGTTTTGCCTGAGGTGGCCACTGAAACTTTAAAGTACTAATTACTATTCCCTAAATGACAATGTAGAATAGTGTTTTGTTGGACTATGTTATGTCAATTAACATTGATGTCTTCCAAAACTATGGTCTTGAGTTTCAGATTCAGCCTTCCCTTCCCATAGATTCTTTGGCTGTGACTAAGATTATTATGATAGATGGAGAAAGGATTGAAACTATCAAGAATTTGGTCTTACTTGAGCACATGGTTAACACACTGAGTACCAGCAGTAAGGAGATCAGGAGACACAGTGCTTTAAGCAAGTCTACTGCCAGGGATCTCTCCAAAATACCAAAGAGAAATGATCTAAGTTTGAAAACTGAGGTGTGCCTGATTCAGCTCGTTGTCTTTTCAGTCACTTCCTATCATCTGAAAGCTAGACAGTGGATAAGGACGGCAGAAGAATTGATGTCACTGAGGTGTGTTGTTGGAGAAGAATACGGATTATCCCATGAATTGCCATTCAAGAGCACAGATGTCTTGGAAAAAGTGCATCAAGAGTTTTTCTTGTATGCAAGGATAATTAAGCTTTGCCTCTCATATATTGGACATGTTGCTTAGAGAGGATATTCCTTAGAAGGGGACATCATGCTTGGAAAAGTGAAGGATCAGCAAAAGAAGAAGACTCCCAACAAGAACTTACCCATAGCTGACCCTCCAGCATGTTTTCAGAGGCAATTCATTGCACAAGAGGAAATTACCCATCCTTCTCCCTTGGAGCACCTTGTGTATCTCAACCATGTGCCTTTGGGATTGAAGTGTAGTTTCCTACCACTAGACCATCAGAACTTACTTTTATCCACTTGGCTACCAGAAATCCCATTTAGAAATACATGGGTCCTAAAAAGTTGAATTGTGAGATCTCTTAAATTGTCTTTCTTCTTTCTAACTGTCAGTCATATAGGCACTTCCGGTGGGCAGAGTGATCTGTTTGTGATTAATAAAATAAGCAAGGGCCACATGAGGATGGCCATATCTGACCTTTACCAATTTCATAAAGGGAAAATCTCCATCAACAGAAACAACCACACAAAACCAATTTTCATAAGGTCTGGCATGTCCCCCATGGGCCTATAATTTTTTCTACTCCTCTCAGAAACAATCTAGCTGCTTTACTGCATCTAAAATCCAATGTCCTAACCACACAGAACCACACTGGGGAAATCAAAGGGTACAATCCAGGTTAGTAGCTGAATATAGCTAGGACAGCTTCCATAATGTTCTTGCAGGCTCCTCAGCCTTGAGCCTCATTTTAGGCCAATGTTGGTTACCAAGTTCTCAGTCCTCCCAATTATGGCTCTCCACACACTCTAGTCCTCCAATAAACTAAGGCAGAAGACCTTACCTCTCGTTTCATGGAGGGTAGTAGTCCCAAGGTCAGTTCTGTCTCATGTCTGGTGGCTAATCCTCTACTACGCCCACTGCTGCTGCTGTAAACCTAGCTGACACTGGCCCCTGCTAAGTCAAGCTGGCACAAGGGTAGCTGTTTCTGAATGGTGCCCACTGCATGCCTGCTCCTCCAATTCTGCCACTGATGCACTCAATTTGATGATGAAACCACCAAATCCACTGTGAGACTAGCCATCCCCCTTGTGGACAGGCCAATACACCTTATTCACATATTCCCACCCATCTACATGGCAAAGTGAGTTAATGAATAAGGCTGCCATTTAGAGCAATAATCCCTTAACACCGCAGTGAGAGGTGGTGCAAGGTTTGGGAGTGACAATGGCATCTTCCCCTTGCAGAAGCCAAGGATGTCCACTTTAAGTTATAATGAAGATATGCTGGAGGAAATGGAGGAAAAATTAAAAAAAAAACACAACAATGAAAAAACCACATTTCTTAGGTCACAGTGCATCTATTGGTGCAGCTGGCTATATCATCCTAGACTTAGTCAAAAGCAAGAAGTGCCCAGAGCCCACTGTCCAACCACCACCACTTATGCTTTCTCTACTCTCTAAACTCTCCACCAGAGACCTGTTTCTTTCCTCCCTTCTTCCTCATTCTGTTTGCACTTGCCGGAATCACCTGACCACTCACTTGTTTTAATGTCTCTTCCTCTTCCTGATCATATTCTGCTTAGTTTCACTTGGATGGATCTGGCCACATCTTTGTATCTGGGCCGTGAGGATTCCTCAACACTGGCATCTCCTCGCCCTTTTCAAAATGATTGGACTCTACTTTGTCTCTCTCACAAACCCCTGTTTTATTGTCTCTTTTTCTAATTGCTGTTTACTCAAATTCTTCACATCCTATTTTGGTGATCCGTGATTGTCACCATTATTCATTTTACTTTATTTTTGGTCTTGCTGTTAGAGAATTACTGAGTAGAACAAGAATACCAACTTGTTCCCTACTCTAAAATTAACTCTGACTTTAACATGAGATTGAAACATTGTGAGGTAAGATACCATACCTTTACATAGTCTTTATGTAACTTATGATACATTTTTGTTCAGTATTGAGGGCACAAAATGTTAGTCCTCTTTGCTATTATCAATCTGTCACAGTTGCTCCTCCTTAAAATACTATTATTACCTCACAATTTCAATTTGTAATATCAAGAGAAAAATACAATAAGCAACCTTGCTAGTTCTTAGGGAAGCTTTACTGGTACTTTCTTGTGAAAAATAGCCCAAGGAGTTCTGCAACTTTAACTCATGGTCTGTGAATGTTTAATTTACCTGATTCAATGAACACTAATATGTTTTCTTTAGTACTTTGTGTACAACATCTATTAAAAGTTTAACATGTAAAAAAAAATTAGAAGAAAAGTTTAACATGTTCTTCCTTGTGTATTCTAATGAATTATTAAAATAATAAATAATCAATATAAATTAGGTACATACTTTTGACTGCTGTGATCTTGACTTATTTCCCAATTTATGTAGGGAAGTTTTTTATGTTCCCTTGTACTTGTAGGAACTAAATCAGGGTTGAGTTAACATGTTTATTGTTATTGTTGTTGTTATGTGCCGACGAATCAGCTGTGGTTCATAGCGACCCTATGTATAACAACAGCCATAAACCCTGCTCTATCCCTTGCTAATCTTACTGTCTCTGATACACCTACATCCATTAACCCAGTGACTGAATCAATCTGTATCATTAAGGGTAATCCTTTCCTGTACTGTCCCTCCACTCTCTGAAGCATGATGTCCCTCTCCAAGGAACTGATCCCGCCTTGCAACATGTCAAAATTGTGTCACACTTAAGACAAAAACCTTCAGAAGAGCAGAATGTGTGTGTGTGTGTGTGTGTGTGTGTGTGTGTGTGTGTGCTTGTTGTTTTTTTTATGTGTTGTCGAGTCACCTGCAACTCATAGCAACCCTATGTACAATAGCTCTAAACCCTGCTGTATGCCTTGTCAATCTTATTGTCTCCAACACACCCATCCCCATTATCCCAGTGATGGAATCAATCTATCTCATTGAGGGTCTTTCTCTCCTGCACAGTTCCTCCACCTTCCCAAACTTAATATTTCTATCTAAGAACTGGTCCCTCCTTGCAACATGTCCAAAGTATGTCCGACAGAGCTTCAGAATCCTTCCCTCCAAGGAGCAGACTGGCTTCACCCTCTCCAAGATGAACTTGTATGTTCTCCTAGCAGTCTATGGTATATTCAATACTCTTCTCCATTTCAAAGGCATCAATTCCCTTCTATCCTCCCTAGTCATTGTCCAGCTCTGTGATGTATATCAAGTAATGGCAAAGACCGTGGCCGGTATCAGGCACACCTTAGTCTAGAGACTGACATTGTTGCTCCCCTGTACCTTGAAGAGGTCTCTGACAACAAAGTTTTCCAATGCAATTCATCTTTAAATTTCCTGGCTGCTGGTACCAAGAGTGTGTATTATAGAGCCAAGCAAACTTAAGCCTTCAACAATCTCAATCTCTTCACCATTTATCATGATGCTGCCAATCAGCCCAGTAGCGAGAATCTTTTCTTGACATTGCGCTTCAATCCATATTCAGTCCTTGACCTTCTTCAGCCAGCTCTGCAGGTCCTCCTCAGTTTCAGCAAGCAGGGATGTGTCATATATTTTTTTAACTTATTTTTTTCCTTATTGTGTACCATCAAATCAGATCCGACTGGCGCAGGAGGATATTTCCCCTCTTTCTCCAGCCGAGCACTTGGTGGATTCAAACCTTGTGCCTTCAGAATTGAAGCACAGCTTCTTGCCTCTAGGTCACCAGAGCTCCATCAGGAAATATATTTTATAATTCACCTACAAAGACATCAGATGCTTGGAGTGTGATTCTCCCTCTATTGAACCTCTAGTTCATTCTCCTTCACTTGGATATTAGCGTATACACTGGCTGTCAAAATTCTAAGCATATAAATAGGTATATAAATGTCTGATGTTTTCTTTGACCTCAACAACCTATTGTGATAATTTTGTTCCAGGGTATAGCTGCAAATATACAGTGTTCTAAGGATGGTGAAACTGTCTCACATACTTTGAGCATGTTGTCAGGAGAAACTAGTCTTTGGCAAAAGACATCATGCTGGGAAAGGTGAAGAGTCAGAGAAATAGAAGACTTTCAAAAGATGGATTGACTCAGGGACTATAACAACCACGAGCATGTCGGAGACTTTCTGAGTGGGGCAAGATCAGATTTTTACTGTTAATAGGGTTGCTATAAATTATGATCTAGTGCTCAATGGCACCCACCATCACCATCACCACCACCAACAACAACAAAACAATAGTCAGAAGTAAAATGATCTTTTATTTAGCGCCTGAATAAGATCTCCTTTTCTCACTTTTGTTGCCAGTCTTTGAAAAATGATGAGCAATCTGCCAAAACTGATGTTCAGAAGCTTCTGGAATTAGGCCAGAAACAAAGGTAAGACTGGATTTTCTGCTTTTCCACCTATAAATTCTATTTCCACCTATAAATTCTATTTGCCATAGTGGCTTCTGTAACTATCATTTTTCCTCAATCTGTAAACACTATGTCAGTTATGTAGATAAGATTTAAGACAGTAATTAAAAAGAGAAGCAAAGTCAAAATTATTTTAGTATCTGATAAGGCATTGGTTAATGTTTTCTATCCATTTCAAAAGCAGTAAAAGTAAGCTGATAAACTTACAATAAACAGATCCCATTGAGAATTTCTAGCTATCTGGAATTAGGCTTACTCCACTGGAGTATGCAAATCATTTATTTCACTTAATCAGCTTTTTCATACACTCAAGTGGCTTAGTGGTAAGAAATTGTACTACTAATACAATTATATGAGGTTCAAATCTACCAGCTTCTCCATGGAAGAAAGGTGGGTAATCTCATTGAGTATGATTTCCTGTCTGAAAACGTGCTAGAGGATCAATTATAGGCAATTTTTTCTGGTAAACAACAACAATATTCAAATTCAGATTCCAGTAATGAGATTTGGGGCTTGATATACTTCCTTTCTAATAGGCCTCATTGATGATGTAGATTGTTTACAAGTTACAATTTGAACATTCAAGATTTATAATTCTTTAACTCTATTTATATTAGTAAGATGTTGCTACAGAATTCTGTTTATCAAGAGTCAGAGCTCAGGGTCTGCCTTTAACAGACTAAAACTTGATAATAATTGTGAAGATGGTAAAATATTAATAATTTTATTAACCACTTAGGTAGACTTAATATAATAATATTAATTTATGCTATTGAGAGCAAAAACCTTTGCTCTTTGAAAGCAAAGTATTATAAAATATTTTTCTACATGCTGTAAAATGTATATGGTTCTGAAGGAGTTTGTCAAAGAAAGGTAAAGATGTTTAATGGAGAAATAAACATCTATTATATGTTTATTAGAAATTCAACTAGAGGCTTACATATATTTTCTTGCATAATTCTCACAATGACCTTATAAATTATATTTTAATATTTCTTATTTATACATAGGATATTATTGTTGGAAGTAATGAGAGTTCTTTTGATTCAAATTTAAATATATTAGTAATTCTTAGCATATTGCAGGGCATAAGCCCAGGAGACACATCTCCACAAACATCCCATTCATAAGTGGAAGAGACTTTATTATACATTAGAGGTACAATTCCAAAATGGCTGGGTTCCTGGACTCCTTTGTTTGGGGCCTATTATAAAGAGACAGACAAAGGAATGATCACTGAGCTCTCTTACAGGTGGGTCTTAATTTATGACAGGAAAACCATGTAAAGTATGTTACAAGCCTTGAACCTTAATTAATTACTCATAGACATATTACAAAAGCCAATTACAATTTATTAATTCATTAATGAATTAATAGTAATAATTGCACTTCATCTGTTACAATTGATAAAGTATCACAACATAGTGATTCATCAATTCATAGAAAGCATTGAACAGTTAATTGCAATTTATCTACTTTGCAATTGATAAATTCATCACAGCATACTGATTCATTAATTCATAGTAAACATTGAATAGTTAACTCCAATTTATCTATATTGTGATTCATAAATTCATCACAACATATTGATTCATTAATAGTGAATCAACCCTGGGATCCCAACTCATCTCTTTCTTTTGCCTCTCATGGTGCCTGGTATGGTCGGGGTCCTCAGCTATTTCAGCAGTTCACAGCCACCAGTGTGGCCAGGGTCAGCAGCTCACCACCACTAGTGATGCCGACTGTGGGTAATATCATCAATTACTCACATGTAAGTTCAAATTGAGGCCAAAGAAAATTAAAATAAGTGCCCAGGAACCAAGATATGATCTTGGATCAATTCAGTCTGAGTTTTGTGATCATATTAAGACTAGGTTTGAGGCATTAAATATCAATTATGGAAAACTGGATGAGTTGTGGGATGATGTCAGGGATATCACCCATGAAGAAAGCAAATTTTTTTACAAAAACAGAGGAAAAAGAAAAAGAAAATGGTTCTCAGAAGAGACTATAAAGATTGCTCTGGAGCATCAAGAAGCCAAATCTGAAGGAAAATATGTTGAAGTGAAAAAGCTGAAGGGATTATTTCAAAGGGCAGCTCAGGTGGACAAAGCACAGTATTATAATGAAATGTGCAGAGAGCTGGAATTGGAGAATAGAAAGAGAAGAACTTGTCCTGCGTTTCTCAAGCTGAAAGAAGTGAAAAACAAATTTAAAACTCATGCTACAGTATTGAAAAATGCTATGGACAATATATTGAATGACTCAGAAAACATCAAAAGAAGATGGAGGTAATATGCAACCTCACTGTACCAAAAAGAATTGATTGACACTGAAAAATTTCAGAGAGTATCATATAAACAGAAGCCAATGGTAATGAAAGCAAAAGTGGAAGCTACTTTGAAGACATTGGCAAAAAATAAGGCCTTAATAATCAAGGGGATACCAACTGACTTGTTTCAGTTAACAAAACTAAAAAAAAAAAAAATTAGAAAAACTCACCAATCTATGCCAGGAAATTTGGAAGATGGCTGTTTGGCCAACAAATTGGAAGAAGTCCATATTTGTTCCCATTGACAAGTGTGATCCAACTGAATGTGGAAATTATAGAATAATATCATTGAAATCACATGTAAGCAAAATTCTGCTGAAGATCATTCGAAAATGGCTGGAACAGTACATAAATAGGGAATTGCCAGAAGTTCAAGTAGGATTTAGAAGAGGCTGTGGCATCAGGAATATTATTGCTGATGTCAAATGGATCCTGCTGAAAGTAAGGAATATCAGAGGAATGTCTATTTGTACCTTATTGACTATGCAAAGGTTTTTGACAGTGTGGATCATGGCAAGTGGTAGCTAACATTGAGAAGAATGAGAATCCCAGAGCACTTAATTGTGCTCATGCAGAATGTATGACTGGATCAGGAGGCTGTTGTGCGAATGGAGCAAGGGAGCACTGCAGGGTTTGGGAATGGGAAGGGAGTTTGTCAGGGTTGCATTCTATCTCTATAACTGTTCAATCTATTTGCTGAGCAGATCATCTGAGAAGCTGAACTCTATGAAGAGGAATGTGGCATCAGGACTGAAAGGAGACTTATCATTATGCAGATGACCCAACCTTACTTGCTGAAAGTGAGGAGGACTTGAGACATTTGTTGCAGAAGATCAAGGAATGCAGCCTTCAGTATGGATTATGTCTCAATATCAAGAAAATTGATTCTTATTACTGGACCAATATGTAGTGTCATGATGGATGGAGAAGAGACTGAAAGTGCTAACAACTTCATCTTGCTTGGATCGACAATTAACACCCTTGGTATGAGCAGTCAGGAAATAGAAGACACATTGCACTGTAAAAGTCTGCAGTTATGAAACTTTCCAAAGTATTGAGGAGTAATGATGTAAGTTTGAGGACTAAGGTGTGTCTGATTCAGGTCATAGTCTTTATGATTACTAACTATATAACTGAGACCTAGACAATGAGTAAGGGTGACAGAAAAGAATTTATACTTTTGGATTGTGGTGTTGGAGAAGAGCAGTGAACATCCCATGGACTGGCAAGAGAATGAACAGACGGGTCTTGTAAGTGATAAAGCTAAAGTGCTCTTTGGAGGCAAGAATGATGAGGCTTTGCCTCACATACTTTGGACATGTTGCTAGGAGGTGCTATTTATTGGAGAGAGACATTATGTTGGGAAGGGTTGAGGGGCAGCAAAGGAGAGGAAGATCCTCAACCAGGTGGATTGATACGATGACTGCTGCCAAAATGGGCTCTTGTTGTGTCAGGAAGTGTGAGGACAGGACAGCAAGATTGGGTTAAGATCTTTACTTCATAGGATTGGTTTCAGTTTTACTCGACTCGATGACACTTAACAACAGCAACAACAAAAAGGAGTAGGTAAAGAAATTACACAAATTTCATCTGGTGGAAAAAGTGATCCCAAAGTAAGTCAGAAATTTTCTCCTTTAAGAAGAAAATTAGTCAAATGTGTGAAGCAGGAATCTGGGACTGTGAAAAATGGGAGTGTGGATCACAAATTATGTTTCACATTGATAAGAATGGAAATCACAGAACATTTAATTGTGCTCATGAGAAATCTATACTTAGGTGAAGAACCTGTTGCCTGAATGGAGAAAGGGAACATTTATTTTCATGGTTTAAAATTTAGAAGAGTGTGCATCATAATGAATCCTTTCTCCATTTTAAATCTGTTTGCTGAGAAAAATAATTCATGAAGCTAGACTCTCTGAAGAGGAATGTGGCATTAGGATCAGATGAAAACTCATAAATAACCTGTGTTATGTACATGGTGCAACCTTACTTGCTTACAGTGAAGAGGACTTTCTAAGCAAGGCAACACTTGGCACAATCATGAACTACAGAGCAACTATGACTTTTTTTTATTTTTTTTATTCTGTGGCAGGAAGTTCTATCACTTTTTCCTCCTCTGAGAGATCCTGTCTCTGTGTCTTGTACAGTCTTTTTTTTTTTGGGGGGGGGGCGGATATCTTGCTTTGGGTTTTCTTATGGCGTTTGAAGTTGTTTGCTTCTTCCTAGATATTGTGGTACTTTGGTTCAGGGGATAAGAATCATGGGCCCCCTGTCAGGCTGGATCCTTGGTGGTGTGGTCTCCAGTACTCTCCTTACTACTGAGAGCCAAAATGAACTGCAATAGAGGTTGATAGGGTTTGGGCTTCTAAGCCCTCTAATCACTGCTGCTCAGTGGTCACAGGGCAGACTCCAGGCCATCTCCAAGATGCTGATAGAATCTCAAAAGATAAATTTCTGACCAGAGGAAGGTGTGGGCCAGACTTCTCATCTTCTACTTACTGTTGTGGTGCCAGAGCCAGATGTAGCTGCCTACCCTCTGCCCATTGCGTCCTAGGACAGAGATGTTCCAGGCCCACTCCCTGATGCTAAAGTAGATACCTACCCAAAGGCAGGTATGACTTCTTGCACT